ATTTTAAAGAAGTCCATGATGGTGTAAAAGAGGACGTGGACCTAGATTCTTTTTGTATCTTGTGTGGTCACTGTGACATTAATTAACAAGACCAAAGTGAAGACAAAGTGCTGCTGTTCTGACTTGTCAAATCATAGATTCGCTTTCTCTTGAAACAGATGTCTTCATGCCATCCATATGAAAGGGCAGCAGGAGAGTCCTTACAGGGCACGTCTGCACATACACAGCTGCATGCACATGTACATACTTATAAGTTGTTTGACTTTCACTGCTACAGTGAGAATGCAGTTATATGGCACCTCTCTGTCCCCATGACATCTGTATTTTGCTGTCAGCTAATGGCTGTAGGTTTATCACATTGGAATGTGTATTGTGCTTCAGTAACAAAGCAGAAAGACATTTTTTTTCCATTATTACACCAATAAAATTTTCTGTACACAGATACAGTCATGATCCCAGTAGTATGATATTTTTCTAGCTATCTAACTGTATGTATATTCCATTCTATACAGTCAGGTCATCTGACAATGAAATCAGTCCACAGTAAATTTAGCAGAGTACCATTAATGGACTAGTATTTTCCACTCTGCCAATCTCCCAGTAAATTTATGAAAAGACAGTCCAGACCTTCAGGTCCTTATTAGCATCTCTTCTTGACACATTCAGCTCTCTGACTAAATAGCCAGCTCATTTTTGCAGTGTTCTTGTCTTTGCCTGAAAAGAGTACAAGCTTTTAGCGTATTCTCCAGAAATACATTTTCTTTGTTGGGATGTACAGGCTATTTATTTGTGGTTGCTTGCAGAGAAGAATGAAGGTAAGCAATGTCCTTAATGTTGTAATAAAAAACTGGTGGAGAAATACTGAATCTGATTGCAAGGAGGGTTGTATTGGTATGCAAGGGAGGGAGAGGTTGGTGCATGGCTTTGCTCTGAGTGAAGAGGCTCTGCAGACTTTATTCATATTTATGACACTGTTGTCAGGAGTGCTTACATTTTCCAAGAAGCAGTTCAATCCAGAAACTTTTTAACATTGTGATGATTGCAGAAAAATCTGTGAAAAATGTGTCCACAATATATAATATGCCTGAAAATACCTTACTCGCTTACATTATCTGAGCATGGTTCTTTTACTTGAAAACAATGTGAAAAATCAGGGAGGTGTTTTCATACATCCCAATTCCATTAAAACCTGTATGTCACACTCAGGCAGCATTGGTACCAGCCATGCAGACTGACTTGCATTGCTGTGGCCCAGGAATGCAGGGCAATCCCACATCCGAGCCCTCAGGGGTGTTCTCACAAGGAATGCATCAGTGCTGTGGGGTGAGAGAAGAGGGAAGGCCATGTAGGCTGAACCAAAGTGCATGAAGGGATGTGGCACAAAGGACACCATTAAGGTCTATAGTTAATACTTATTTCTGAGTTGTTCATGTTCCAAAGGGGATTTTTTCAGTGCGCAGGGGAAGAGTTAGTCTCCTTTTACTTACGCTAATCCAGCAAGGCCCAGAACTTCTTAGCACTGTGTGAATTCTGAATTCCTGATGCCTTCAAAAGAAGCAACAGGCAGACTTACATGGATCTGTCTGTGTATAAAATGGGCTATTACCCTAATGGCTGTGAGATGGACATGTGGAAGTAAGTTGGTTTTCTGTAGTTACATTAGCAACTTCATTTCTAATTCAGAGCTTATTACAAAAATTACAGGAAAATGCCATTTTTTTAATGACAAGGTCTCATTTTCTGCCAGTTCTTCAGCTCATCGTGGAGACTGATTCAAAGCGGCTTGCATCCCTACACACGTTTGTATACACAGATGGTGAATTAACAGAGTTAACTCAATGGAGTGGACAGGTGCTAAAAATACAAATTTGGGGAAAATATGGAAGGGAGAACAGAAAGAAAAAGATGGGCAGCTGCTCGCTGTCCTGCCTTGATGAAATGCGACTCTAACAGCCAAGGAGAAGGAGATGAGGACACAAAATGAAAGACTTCACATAGATAACAGTCTCCTTCAATACTGAGTGCACTATAATGAAGCTGCCAGACAAGTACACTACAGAAGATTTTCTGCACAACAGGCATGCAGTGTATTTGGTTCGTTATGAAAAGCAAGATGGGGCTGATATGTCCCCAGGTGCTGAAGCTGGTGGGATCCTCATGCGATGAGTACTTTTGGACAAGCCTAACTTGAGTACTGTGAGAGGTCAGGTTAGCATGTGGTCTCATGGACTACGTACACAGGATCTTATATGGGATTATATGTGGGTGTGAAGAACTATAATGCCCCAGTTGTGGCACTGATCTTGTGAGAATGGACTCCCTGGCCTGAGTGAGCTGTTCTGCCGATGAGGAATTTCTCCCCTCAGGAGAGACACACTGTGGGGGGTCACCTTGGCCGGGAAAAGATAAGGCAGAATTTTGTTTAAGCTCTAATTTCAGTGAGGTAAACATCATGCACAGCCTCATAGCATTATATTATTCCCACTGGAGAAAAAAAAAAAAAAAAAAAAAAGCAGAAGCTCCAGCTTCCAGTTCAGTAAAGCATCTGCAAAAAGTAGACATCCTTCAATACTGAAAAGTAAGTACAAGCCTGAACGTGGCCAAAAAGGGGACGTACCATTCGTTGCCTTGCAGCCTCTCCCTCCTCAGCCATGTAACAATTCAGTGTCTGGTTGAAGCTAAATCCCCCAGAAAGCCTGTGGGAAGGATTAGGCGTTTCTGCAGGACAGTTTATCCTTTATTGTCCCCCCCCAGAGTTGCTTTTCACTTGTGCAGTGAATCTCTACCTCACCATGTTGTTTTTTCTACTTTAAAAGAACCTGAATAGCTTGATGAGAGAACAGCTGAGTTTTCGTGTGCCCAGAGCAGAGCTTACAGAGAGCTTTGAATCCAAATTATCACGAAGCCAGTGGTTTAAATGTCAGCCCTGCAGCAATGGAAAGAATTTTGTCCTAGCTACATAGATCGATGTACACTGTACTGTTCAGTACTTACCACAGAACATACTTACTACTGAAACAGGGCTAGCATGTTTTTCTTCTCAAAGCAGATGTGGTCTCCAGGTTATACAGAGATTTAATGGTCGCCAGACATACAGGGATTGGGAATTAAAGAGGGGAAATGCTGGAGGGTATGGCTACAAGTATGAAAGGGATACAGATTCCCTTTAATCACTTATATTCAGAGACCTTTACTTGTTGGTCACAAGGTTTGATCACAGAGTATGAATTATGAATTCAGTGCTTTTGGCGAGAAGAGATGATCAGGGGTTGGCAAAGAAAAAAAAGGGGGGGATTTAGAAGAGATGATGAACAAAAGCTTCACTTCCATCTTCCCATACATGAGGAAATTCTGTGGCTAGGGCTGGGAGACCCAAGGAACATTGGTGAAGATCTTCAGTGGGAAAGACAGGAACTAGATAAGAAATGACTGTTTGGCTATGACTTTTGCAAGAGGATAACATGGTAGAAATGACCTTGACAGATGTGAAAGTGAAGTAGTGCCATCTGAGATTTAATTTGGCCTTGGAATATTGCATGGAATCTGGAGATAAACTTGCTCAATACAGTTAGGACTGTTCTGTAACAACTTTCCAAACAAAAACAACACTTTACTGACACAAATATTGCATAGAACAGCACTGTTTTCAACAAACTCCCAATGAACCACCATGACATTCACCTGACCAGGGATCACAACCCTCCTCAGTCTCTCGAACCATCCAAAACTGTCTCAAAGTTGAACATTTGAGATTTTCAAGGCACGTAACCCAGACACAGTCCTTCAGGACTGGGGAAGTGAGGAGTTTACCAGCTCCAGAATTCCTGTGGAAGACACTTCTCCGCTTGTGAAGGCCATGGGTTTTCCACTCTGCTTCTGTAAATCCCTGAAGTCTGTAGGTCTCAGCTTCATTGTGACTTCCACTATTTGTGCATTCCCAGATCTCCTGTTGCCCACTAAGACTGAGTGGGAGCTGTGATTCCTAGGCTGTTGTGCTGCTTAGAGTACTGTGAACAGTTAGCTTAAAAAAGCACTTGTTAATTCCAACCTTCCTTGCTCCTTAAGTTTTTCCTTACAAAATCATTTTGTTACCTTTTTTGTATTTGTTCAGAAGAATTTTTCAGAGTAAAAGTGCCATAATCATAGAATCGTAGAATCACAGAATGGCCTGTGTTGGAAGGGACCTCAAGGATCATCAAGCTTCAACCCCCTGCCACAGGCAGGGCCACCAACTTCCATATCTCATATTAGATCAAGCTGGCCAGGGTCGCATCCAACCTGGCCTTGAACGTCCCCAGGGATGGGGCATCCATAATCTCTCTGGGCAGCCTGTGCCAGCACCTGCATATTTTAACTAAACCATGGTTACTGAATGTACCAAGTGAGGTTTCAAGGGGAATTACTGAGCACCAAAGGGTGTTTTCTTGTCCTCTTTTTTTTTTTTTTTTAAATTTTTTGCATTTTACTTAGCTGAAGTATTCCAGAGAAACCAATGCATTGTAGATTGCTTGTAGAATTCACGAGGAGCCCTCAAGTAGACTGCATAAAGATCTTTGTGCTTATTTGACTTTGAGACCAATCAATATTCATGAAATCAGAAGTTGAATACAGGTGTTTTCTTCTGCTGCTAGTATTCATTTCTACGAGTCGAGTATTCAGGGTTATATAAAATAGAAACTGAATGGCTGAACTGACCATTTGAAATATTATCGTACTATCATCCCTCTCCTCCTCCCTGTGCCTCAGTGCCAAGAAGCATTTAAGATCCTATGCAGTCTGTTTAATACTTTCTAAGATACTGGAAGAGCATTCATCTACTAGTATCTCAGCTCATTAGTCAGAAGCATTTGGAAAATAAGCAGCTCCTTTGGATCTGGCACCCAGATCCTTCACACAAGAAAACACCTTCATTCAGCAGAAGGCCTGCACTTTGTGGAGGGCAGTTTCTGTCAAAGTGCTCCTCAGGCAGGAGAGCAGATGTTGCATGCTAACTGAAAGCAAGATTGCCAAAGCAGGAGAAGAATAACAACACTTTGATGTGAGAAAATACTGAAGCATGTCCCCCATACAAATGTCTGGTCAGATATTCTGTTGTTTATTGTATGGAAGATAGGTGTCTCGTGGATGACAGGAGACTGCAGACACTGCACGGATAGCATTGCTCTGAGCCAGAGCCAAAGTTTTCTAGCCAACTGTGAAGTTGCTGACATAAGAACAAGGAAACAGCTCCGGACTGTACAACAATGACATCACAGACAGCTGGAACTCCCCACAGCTATGGTCAAAGGAAGCGCTACACAAACCATCTCACAATAAAATTTTCTGATTCATAAAAGCATTGGCTGGTTCTCCTGGATTGTGTTGTCCTCATTGAGAAAACTTGGGGACTTTTTCTGATGGACCTGACTCACCGATCTGTATAGATAAATACAAGTATGGATATTTGTAAACTCATTTTTATTAGTACAAAGTTCTCTCCATATTGTTATGAATGAGCACTTTTGTGTCCTCATACTTAAAGCTGGACAGCCAGAGGTCCAGAGGAGAATGCCTCCTGTCCTCTGCTGCACAAGTGGAGACATGTTCCATTTTCCACATGGACATCAGTTCTAAGATATGTAATCAAAATAACACCATAATTGCTGCAATTTGGGTATCAGCAACTGGCAGCTGCCTTGGTGATGCCATGGGCATGTCACAGGAGGCAGAACGCTTACAGTTCCCTGTGTCACACAGGTATTGGTTACATTGGCTTTATAGGAAGACCACAGGAAGGGGAGCTGCCATGTGCATGCCCAGGGCAGAGGACAGAAGGATGGTGTGCAGAGGCTGAGGTAAGAGGGCAGGAGATATCATGGCAGGGTTGGATGGTTAAATCGCGCAGATGAAAGGAGTGGTTGTGATGCAACTGATTTTGTGTCCTCCTTCTTTGCTTGGAGAGCCAGAGGCCCCAAGGAGAACGTGATCAGAGCATGGAACCTCCTGTCTTCTGCTGCACAGCTGGAGAGATGTTCCATTGTCGACATGGACATCAGAACCAAGATATGTAATCAAAATAACACCAGCATTGCTGCAATTTGGGTATCAGCAAATGGCATCTGCCTTGGTGATGCCATGGGCATGTCACAGGAGGCAGAATGCTTACAGTTCCCTGTGTCACACAGGTATTGGTGACATGGGATTTATACAGAGAGCACAGAAAGAGCAGCTAGCATGTGCCTGCCCAGGGCAGAGGACAGAAGGATGGTTTGCAGGTGTTGAGGTAAGAGGGCAGGAAAGAGGGCACAGCTGGGTTGGATGTTTAAATCGAGAGGATGAAAGGAGTTGTTGTGATGCAACTGATTTTGTGTCCTCCTCCTTTGTCTGGGAGAGCAAGAGGCCCAGAGGAGAACGTGATCAGACCATCGAACCTCCTGTCCTCTGCTTGCACTGCTGGAGAGATGTTCCATTTTCGACATGGACATCAGTACCAAGATATGTAATCAATATAACACCAGCATTGCTGCAATTTGGGTAGAAGCTACTGGCAGCTGCGTTGGTGATGCCATGGGCATGTCACAGGAGGCAGAATGCTTACAGTTCCCTGTGTCACACAGGTTTTGGTGACATGGGATTTATAGGGAGAGCACAGAAAGAGCAGCTTCCATGTGCCAGCTACTTTCTTGAACTTCCAGAGGGCGGACTTTGATCTGTTCAGATGCTTGTAGCATGGGTCCCTTTGGATTCGTTTCTTAAGGGTAAAGGGGTCTTGGAAGCCTGGACTCTCCTCAAGACAGAAATCTTAAAGGCGCAAGAACTGGCTGTCCCTGAGTGCCATAAGGCAAGCCGCAGGGGTAGACGTTCATTGTGGATGAGCTGGGAATTACTATTGAGATTCAGGGAGAAAAAGAGCGTCTACCTCCTCTGGAAGAAGGGACAGGTTAGTTGGGGAGATTACAATGAAGTGACTAAGGTATGCAGGGAGGAAGTTAGGAAGGGAAAAGCCCAACTTGTACTCAGATTGGTCACTGCAGTAAAAGACTATAAAAAATCCTTTTATAAATATATCAATGGCAAAAGAAGAACCAAGGACAATTCTCATCCTTTACTTGATGCAGCAGGGAATGTGGCCACTGAGGACAAGGAGAAGGCTGAGGTCCTCAATGCCTTCTTTACATCTGCCTTTAATAGCCAGACCAGTTATCCTTTGGGCATTTTATGCCCTGATCTGGATGTCTGGGACGCTACTCAGAAAATACCCCCAGCGATTCAGGTGGAGACAGTCAGACAGCTCCTCCTCCATCTGGACTGTCACAAGTCCATGGGACCGGATGGCTGCATCCTCGGGTGCTGAGGGAGCTGGCGGGGATGATTGCTGAGCCACTCTCAGCCATCTATCAGCGCTTCCTGGTTAACTGGAGAGGTCCCAGAGGATTGGAGGCTTGCTGATGTGACTCCCATCTTCAAGAAGGGCTGTAAGGAGGATCCGGGGAACTATAGGCCTGTCAGCCTATAGTGTCCAGAGGATCAGGCCCAGCCAGCACAGGTTCATGAAAGGCAGGTCATGCTTGACCAACCTCATCTCCTTCTACGACTGGGTGACCAGACTGGTAGATGAGGGAAAGGCTGTTGATGTAGTCTACCTAGACTTCACCAAAACCTTTGACATGGTCTCTTACAGGCTTCTTCTGGGGAAACTGGCTGCCCATGGCCTGGACAGGTGCACACTC